TTTAACTTTTGCTACAATCCTCGTGGATGGTAATCCGGTACTTATACCACTTTATTACTTGGAAAGACGATATTGAGCCATATTGTATACTTGTTTTGTGGCCCAATTCTTTAGTCTAAAGGTTTGCGAAATAACCCGACCAAGTTTTTGGCGCCGCTGCCGGGGATTGGCAAGCTAAAAGTTTTCTTTTGAGTAAAGTAAAAGATTTGATTTTTCTCGTACCGTTTTGATCATCTTGAAATTGGTGTATGCCAAGATCGCATCGGCGAATTTTTCGAACTTGATCTAGATATTGAGAGAACGTTTCACCATATAAGGAGGGCTCAAAGAGCATTTTTTGCTCTACTCTCTCCCAACATGGAGTTACCTCCTCCAATCATTCTGGAAGTACCACATTTGGAAAATCAACTGCCAATTTTTAGACAAATACCACCATTCCCAAACTTTCCATAAGGACAACAAGGACACCCACATAATCATAATGATAATAATCTAGGTAATGAGGACACTGAGTCAGAGCATAATGAGCAACAAAAAGCACAAACTCCGAATATCATTAATCTGGCAAACTCTAAAAATGGAAGGATCATGGATTATGCTATCCCGAATTTTGAGCAATTAAATTCTGGGATAGTGAGACCACATATGATCGCTCTCCATTTTGAACTAAAACCTATAATGTTTCACATGTTGCATATGAATGGCCAATTTGTTGGACTACCCTCAGAAGACCCGCATTCACACTTAAAGTTTTTTATGGAAATCACTGATGCTTTCTTGATCCCAGGAGTGTCCAATGACGCTTTCAGACTCACTTTATTTTCATTTTCATTAAGGGATCGAGAAAAAGCATGGTTTAACTCTTTAACACCGGGATCTGTGCCGTCTTGGAGTAACATGACGGAAATTTTTTTGCAAAAATATTTCCTACCAACAAGGAACGCTAAGTCCAGAAACGAGATCTGTCTTTTCAAACAACTGGATGATGAAGCTGTTCCTGACGCGTGGGAAAGGTTCAAAGAGCTGTTGAGAAAATGCCCACACCATGGCATTTCGTACTGTATTCAACTTGAGACATTTTACAATGGGTTAAGTCCCATTTGTAACACCCCTAAAATTCATAATCCGAATCGCTGAGAGCCCAGAGCAAAAATAAAATTTATCCAACAAAAGGAATAATATGGCGGTTACAATYCGGCTAATCGAGAAGATAAATAACAACCTATTAATCTAGAACATTCCAAATCTAGATTAAAGACGGGGGTTTCTATCAGTCTCCAACAAAGTCGAAATATCC